TTGGTTTTAGTTGCAAAATACTTTTTCACTTTGATTTAAGGAGAATTAGAAAAGGTTAAACGTGGACTATTTTTTGATGTTGAAAAACGCCTAACTGGAACACATTGATATTGGGCTTAAGGATATTATTTAAGCGCTCTAAAGTCGGACCGTCGAAAGACTGATGCGCTCTCTTGTGGTGGATGATATCTGAACCAAACTACATGAAAGTGGTTACGATGCTGTTGGATATGTTTACATACAAGAAAGTACAAGCCGAATCTTTGTTGGATCACCCTTGGTGAAACAGTGCTTCAATATTCTGGGTTACCTAGATAAGACACTCAGTTGGAATTCTCTCTTAGTAAACTCTTAGTTCAACCAACCGGGCCATATGGGCCTGTCGAAGAGTTTTTGGTCGAACACGGTTCTTAACTGCAAGTTAATAGATTGGCTATACCGAACTATAGACCGTCCGCTTGTAACTTATGCTTCCATAGTCTAATGGCCAAACACGCTGCAAAAACCGTTGTCATGCAAAGGAAATATGCTTTGGAAGGAAATTCCAGGTCAAAATTCTAGACGGAGATGTCTGCTCAAAAGGTTCACCTGAACTAGAGCTCAGAGATGTACACTGGTAAACAGACGGATAAAATAAGGAGGCAGAGCAGGTTCGGATGTTTTTGGACCTCGCACCAAACTTCCTATAAATCTATTGCAGTTGGTACTTTGTCCACGGCTTTTCAGGGCGAGGTACTTACAATCTCAATTTGTGTGAGACTGGTTCTTGGGAATAGTTTAAAAGGCGCCTTTCTATTTATATTTTCAGACAGCCAGGCGGCCATAAGGGTCCTATAAAATAGGACGATCATCTCCAGGTTCGTCAAGGAGTGTTTTGACATTATCAAACTAAGCTGGGTATAAGGACACTTTGGGATCGTAGGTAAAAGGACCGCCGACAAAATGGTTAAGGAAGTTTCATGGTCTATTGATCCTCCTCGAGGCTTATACTCGAAGCGTAGGTAAACACAGAACCGAGTAAGTACTGGGAAGGAGTAGGTGGCCTTATACCGGCCAAACTTTGTGGTAATCCTTTTGCTAAACAAAGCCAACATAAAGTTACCTAACCGGCCATAATCACTTGTGCTCTCACATGCACCGGATTGGTCTTTCGAAAGAGACGGATTGCCATGAAGACGAGGAGACGTCGGAGCACACTGCGTGGGACTGTCCAGTATAAGCCAGGGTAGGGCTGAAATACTTCAGTTCTTCCACTGTCGATGCCCTTAAGGTTAGGAATTCGTATACCAAGAAAATTGAAGCTGATATCTTCTTGGGCTGGTCAGGATTAGGAACCATCTTAGGGATACAAAAGATCTTCTTGCTCGCGGTGTCCTTTGTTTATGTTGCACCCATAGAAGTTACATTACAAAGTCGCTCCTTTGAACTTTCGGTAATTGGCCGTAGTTTAGGGAAGAATACTGCCGACATTACGCTGTTGAATGTAACAAAACTACACCAACAAAAATATGTTAATAGAATCGGTGTTTTTGATCGGAAGTAAAGCGAAAATACCGAGTTGATTTCCGCATCACTAAATTTTTCTTAGCTGACAGTGTTCTGTCAGTGCACCGTAACTAACTTCAAGCAGTGTATATATGTAATAAACACACATAACTGGCATGACAAAACAGAAAACCAAACCCTTGCGCGCGCATAAAGAAGAAGTAGCCAAAAGAAAATTGAGAACTAAACAACAAAAATATGAGAAAATGTAAAAGTGATGAAGAAAACAAAACTGATGGCATTTGGATAAACAAAACAATGTAGTGAATGAGAAAGAGGCTGAGAGGTAGACGAAAATAATAAAGATACCGAATAAATAACAACAAAATTGCAGTTACATATTTAGGAAATGTTTCTGAAAATGCGATAACAAAAGCGTGAAATATGAAAGGACTGTGAGTGAAGACGGCTTTAACATATTCGGAAGAGATTGCAGCAAAAGATATATTTAACTGTAGTTAACGCATATTCAGATGCTAGGACTTACAGGATTCTCCAGCATTTTTCTTTAAAAGGGAATATTTGGCAATAATAATTTTTTTCTAAATATGTATTGGCAAGAACTGAGTACTGCAGCGATAGTAGTTCTTTAATGCACCTGAAATACCAAAATTAGTTACTCAAAGTCATACGCCAGCATCCAAGGGTAGCCATAGGCGTTTCAAGGCGAGCTTTATTAAATTTCAAGGGCAAAGGAGAGGTCAGACTGTACACAAAGCAAAGTAGGTAGAGGCATTTACTACTAACTACTCGTATATACCAGCCAAGTTAAGTGGTACGTGCCTCCGACAAACTGTTGCAGCTTGTTTTGGACGCTTTGTTGTTTGATCTGCTCCATCGTAGTCGTCGTCATCACTCTTCGTGTTTTTTCGTTGTATAATTGAAGTTTCGGCTACATGAATATGTAAATATTTTAATATGGCTCTTTTACCCTCAAACGGCGCGAAAAGTTTTCGATTATGTTCGTATCATTTTATGCGTGATTCTCGTATTTGAGACGCTCTCCGCAATTATCGATTTCAAAGGCATGCGTGCTTACCCAGTAGGAATAAGTAATGGTATGATTGTCTTAAATGGATGTTGCCTATAATTGAACAACCGAAACTTAACGAAACTAAATGCCACGTCAAAATCTGTTTCATTTTGATGTTATAATGGGCGAATGAAAGAAAAGCGGTTAGATGAAAGAGGGCAAAGAAGCGTGGTATAGCTTATTTGATGAATATAATACTTAGGCCGAACTAATGGGAAAAGAGGCAAGGCGTACGACTCAGATATCATCTATGATATTTCAGGTGTAGGACAAAGAGAGCACTCTTAAGTGTAATTTTCGGAAGTAGCTTTTAACGTGTTTTCTCACTTTAAGTACATTTTTTTAGAGCAACATTTGTGTTTAAGAGATAGAAATTTTTTTGAAACTACTTGAGGAAACAGGCCTATGTCTTTATACTGAGTTATTCTTCTTTTTATTTGGTGCTTCTGGCCGAGTTTAACAAAGTACGCCAGTTGTTTCTCTTCTGTGCCAACTGACGCCAATTGGAAACGCCAAGTGAAGCCAAGTCC